TCCTCTGCTGCTTTCTGATTTTCAAAAAATGCAATACATATACCCACTTACAGATACATTACATTCATTTGTTGTCACTGTGATGCACATTAGACAGAAAGCATATCAGCTGTGATTCACACACTTGACACTGCCCTGTTTGAATGGCTCACCATGAAAAAGATGCACACATTTTCCCATGTTGAAAATGTAGCCCCACGCACGGCACGCATCAACTTTGTTTGCAACTAGCTTCAATACGCTGATGTAGCTACCTTTTACAGTACAGAGTTAGAGTCCAATAGAAGCAGAACTTCTGCCTGGACTGTAAAAGCTGGGTTCACTGAGACTATACTAATTCCAGTTTATGGACTGAGCTAACTCAGGCATCTCAACATTGCTCTTCACTACACGGCTCAGAAAAGCCAGTTATCTCAGTTTGCCTGAACAACGACGAGGTCACATTTATAACCAGTATAATATGCATCAGCTGGATTATTCATCTGAAATTAAATTTCAGATTTCAGATGACGAATAATTTGTATGGGAACCGTAGGAGATGAAAATAGTTCATCAATTCTACTAATACCAATAAAGTACTATTGAAGAAGAGATTGCTGGGTTTTATTATTATTTGTAGAAGATCTGCCCTACTAGGTCAAAAAAAAAAAGCAGCATATATTCAGGCTATAGCTATATAAACGTGAAAAAATTAGTCTGCAGTTGGATAGAGTTATTCCACAGTTAAACTCCTATCCTTTCATTAAAAGTAATCTGAGCAGCTAGGCCACCCACTCTACATCTCACAGGGATTTCTGGTGAATTGATTTTTCCTGCAGAGTACTGATTCACAGTGACTGCACTTATCTTTGTGGCTAATATACTATTACCATCTGGCTGCAAAAGCATCCAAGCGATCCACTGTAAATGCACAAGCACTTAAAATAATTACTATTAATGAAGCTGCCTTGGTAGTACACTTTCTAGGATTAGAAATAATTGGTAACACAATCCTCTTTTATGAATACATTATTTAGACTGCAGGCACTCTGGAGTGAAGAAAGTCTTTCTACTGTATTTGTATACAGTACCTCACATACACTGCCAATTCTGCCTGAAAAGCAGTTATCTCAGGATAAGAGCCAATGTCCCATCTACATGTAGTAATTTCCATTTTTACCTTAAATGCTCCATTATTTCTACAGTAGGGCCAGTCAGAAAACAGTCTGTATGTTTCCCAAAACTCACTAACTTTAGGTAAGCTGAAAAAAGGCCATGACCCAAATACAGCAGTGATCAAAAACTCTTTTCATGAAGCTAGATCATGTGATTAGTTATTCCTCTACAAATGCATTTTAAGTCAGAGATGTTCAGCAGTGACTACACTTTTCCCAACAAAATCTGTAGCTGATCTTCTGTAATGCAAACTTCTACACCGATTTATTTTGAGGAAACCAGTCAGACCGTATCTGTGTTTTTCACACAAGTACCAGCTTCAAAATAGCCCACATATTTTAATTTTTGGATGGGCAAGGAAACAGGAGACAGATCAATTTAATAAGCTGTGAAAATTAAGCTGTAAGTTATATGAATACATTACCATATTCTATGTCGTGCCAGCTAAGATTCCCATCATACCCGAGTTCTATTCTTTAAAAGATAAAGAGCCACATAAATACAAAGTACTAGAAAATAGAGGGGTTTTTGTGATACATGCACATCAATCAATACAATGAAACACCTTATCTCCTTAAGAACCTAAAATGAAAAGTTACGTGTCTACATAAAATATCTACATAATATGTCAGTCACCTGATTAATGTTCATGTTCTCACTATCTTGGAGCCTTGAAATTCATAATATCGTATCATTATAGTCTGCTGAGTAGAGGAATAAACTCAGATGAGAAAACTGACTTGTGTGGTACGAGTAGAATCATAGGCTGAAATGTGATAAAGAGGGCATTCAAATTTCTATAAATGGGGAATGAGGATTTTGCGGGGGAATGAGGATTAACAAGAAATACTTCTTTGTGGTAAGTGACCAGAGAAGGCTTTCAAACTAAGAATAAATTATAATTATCTGCTGCTGCTCCTGTTTGTGAAAATTCAGGTGGCATACTTTCCAGAAACATGGGTATCAAGCACCTGATACACCACTTCCATAATTTTCTTGGTTACATGATGCCATCTATAATGTGGGGCAGACAAAATCACCAAGCCCATTAAATTTATATTCTGATAAAAGATGTTTTTGAAAGAAGCATGCTATAAGAGACACTTTTGCAAAGTAGAATGTTCAAAAAGTTGGAAGTGCTCAGCTGCATTAGGTGAGAACACTGGACTCTTGCTTCTTTCAGTGTGCAACGTAGTTAAGGTACCTGACCGTCCCAATGAATTTCATTGCAGATGGTTACTTTTTCACAGCAGCTTTATTTTCATAATTTCTCCAGTGATTACCCTCAAACATTCATCATAAGCAATGAGCACTTTACATGAGGAAGCTTGAGACAATATAAATGGTTGAAAAAATCCTGGATAATCAAAGTTGTTGGTGCAAACCTAACATAACCTTTAGCTAAATGTGTCAATGTTCTGATTTAAATGATTTCAGGAGAATACAAGCTTTCCTATACTGGCTTTTGGTGTAATGCAGTGTTTTGAGCTCTGTGTAAAATAAAGGGTATGAGCCACATCCAGCTCCACCCTTTCCTACTAGCAAGAGTTAATATTGTGGGAACACAGGGACTGGGAAACAAAAAGAGAACTACTCTTTTCTTTAGTTGATATCACAAGACGTCTCTGCACACAGGAGGAAGAACTCTCATATATAGTAACTGCTGCTTGCTGTCAGTCACACTCCAAACTGCTATAAACTGTTACCATCTACACTGTGTTACGATTTTACTGATTTATAAAGCTCTCTGATGCCTGTGGATTTGAACCACCATGATGTCTGACGTGGGCTAGGAAACAATGAGCTGTTCCAAGTAGAGAAGGTCACCACCTCTGCTCAATTAGTTAATGTAGGAGTCATACAGAGACAGATAAAGAGATGTGTCTAATAGGTTGATTGCACATATTAGGTTGTAGACTGCAGTCCTTTGAGGATTTTTACAGGTTCCTATGGAGTCCCAAGGTAGTTTCTAAGGCATTCAGTTCTTCACTGTCCTTTTAATCATGCAATTTCTCACAGAATCCAATAAGCATTTTTATTGTCAAAAGAATAAGATCAGGTTATGGCATGTAACTAAAAAGAAGTGGGTAAAATATTATCTGTTTGAAGTTTACCTGGTCTGAGCTGACTATGATAGGCTCTTTAAGAACAATCCAGGTGATGCACTCTTCACAAGGTGGAGTAGTGAAAGACCCATGGTATGTCCAGTAGTCATGAGATTTAGGGAAAAGAATTGAAGGATCAAAGTTTGGAAAAGGAGCTTCTTTCCCCTTTAAAAAAAACACAAGAAAACCAAGCAGAAACCTCTTCAACAGCTCCAGTCACGATTAGCTAAAGATGCAGCTCTGGTATTTTAAGAAACAGAGAGTGACTGAGATACTTCAAAGGCACGAACTAAGGAAACTAAGCACATACCTACACAATGCATAACAATGCAGTGTAAAGATGTGACCCTCACAGATGGGCCCAGAGAAGCATGACACAACATACAACACCACATCTTGTACCTGAGCTAACCCATGTGAAGCGACATCCAGTACCAATATGCTTCACTCATTTCTGTGCAGAAATACCCTTCCTTCTGGCCTCCTTTCTTACAGAAGTTCTGCCTATCCATTAAACAATGGATTAGGTCACCATAAAATGAAGTCATATCTAGAGTCTAATACTCTAGATTTGTAGTATTTGTGATAATAACAAACAAGACAGCCTATGAAATGTACATTTATGGTGAGATTCTCATTACATAATGTTATCTGAGACACAGATGTCTAGTCAGTGGCATTCCAAAAGTCCATGAGGAAGCCTACCTCAAGACCGAATGGACTGATTTCCAAAGGTGCCTTTCTTTTGTCACTGATCACTGAGGGAATAAGACTCCATGCCTAGTTTTGAGGTGAATAAAGTTTGGTGAGGTGACTCATTTTCACAAAATTATAAGGCCCACTACAGCCAAAGAAGGCTTATATCTAAATAGAAGATGGGACTTTTCCTGTTAAGGAAAAGCTACCCATGGTTTTATTAATAAGTATATTCTGGCAATATTGCAGAGCAGAATTTGCAAACTAGAAAGTCATGCCTCTTGATTTTTTTTTTTTGTCCTGAGCATTTGCAGCAATCTTCCTACAATGAAAAGCCCAACATTGTTACCTTTGTTTTGATAGCATTTATTTCTTCAAGAATTCTCTTCATCTCTGGTTTGGGAGTTTTCCCTACCTGTGAAGAAAACATGAGCTAACCAAAGAGTTCTGTTGTATCAGTTTTCTTCTTTCTCCTGTTTTTTTTATATATGCATCTAAACATATATCAACTATAAAACTACAATGTATTAACCCAACCTATCATCACCCCTACCAGCTTAGTAAGATATGTCTTCTATCTGTAGCCCAACAGATATTTTGATCCAAATGGGGAAATTACATCAGTACAGTAACTCAGCATCACAGGTAATTTCACAATACTGCTATTGCTGTTGACATTGAATTTTAACCTAACAAAGATAAACAAAACTCTTCAGACTCAGGTACAGAATTTGGAAGAAGTTTCATCCTAGTTTAAAATCCAGATGTCATGGTCAGATCTACTGTTTGCAATTGCTGATCTCAACACAGATGTCCATCTTTCTACCACTAGTGAATATTAATTAGACAAGAGAGAGCAAAGGCCGATATTTCAGGCTAAGACTGCAGGCCCCCAAAAGGATTTTAAAAAAGGATGAGTTACATGTATTGCCTGTGAGTTAGTTTTGCCTGGGAGAAAATTAATGAAAAGCCTACAAGAAGTATCTGTCCTTGAAATCAGTCCATGATTAGTATAGAAGACAGCTGACTGCTATTGGTCAGAGGGCCACTACTGACATCATGTCCCCAAAACAGGGGCAAATACATCTGGATTTACAGCTTCCACCATCTATGTAGTGACACAATAGCTGCTAGGACAAGTGTGTTGGTATTGGATACCATTTGAAATAACATGACTCATGCTCTATAACTTGAAAAGCATGCAAGACTGAAAGTCAAGCCCTTCAATGTGGTACGATCCCTAGAAAATATATTCAGAGCGTTTTGCTTTTTTAACCCTGTTAGAATAGAAAACTCTATAGTAGCAGTGCAAAGAAGGCTTGTGTGCTTCTACTTGCTTGCAAAAATATGGCCAAAACAGCTATTCCATCAGTTCTTCTCACAGCATCAAGGTAATTACTGTATTTTGGATTCCAATGTAACAAATGTAGCTGGAAACAAAGAAAAACATATTAAAAAAATCATTATTGAATAGCAAACCATCAGAAGCTGAATGTAGTGTTCTTTATATACATGAGAAAATTTGTGCCAAAAAAGAATGAGGATTAAGCCTTCTAAAAACAAAAAAGAAAAAAGGGACAGCAATTCATATATGAGTTTCATCAGCCACATATTACCATTTAGATTACTATTTGCTTTAAAATAAACTATAAACATCTTAGTACAGAAATTGCAAAAAAGAACAGAAATCTCTTCTTAAAGATGAAGAATACAGAAAAGATGCTTAAGTAAACAGGTAGAACATGCAGTTCAGAAGTTATCTACTGATATGTGATTCATTTCCATTTGGCTTTCAAACTACAGCCATTCTAGCAAAGAACCCATATGAATGTAAGCTCTGTATATTATTAGTCTACAGTTCTCATCTTCCCTTACAATCCTCTAGTGGTGGAAAATCAAGGTAAACACATTCTTCCTCCTTTCTTCTGCTACAGATTTATACTACTGCTACAGTTTTATACTTCTGCTATAGTACTGTACTTTCAGAATACTGTTTTAGTTTGCGTTGCTCCTCAGATGCGCTGTCCTATGTTTCAACCATGTTGGTTTGAGAACATGGAAACTTTTGTTTCACATAGTATTTTTCTTTTCTTATGCTGTGAGAATTACTTCGACCTGATGCACATCTATAAGAATCGATGGGAGTAAGAAGAAAATGTCACAGATAAAGAAAGAACTCCTTGAAAAGCAGACAAATGACAAATTTTATCCCACCTGAACAATAATGACAAATGTTACTTTACACCCTATTTTAAAGTAAAAAGTGGTGAGTCTTACCTCTCCTGCATATCTCACTCCATTCACAACATGCTCAGAGCCATGGTCATCAGATGAACCCCAATGAAAGTGAAGCTGACGTAGCCTGTAGACTCCTGGAAGTGGCCCACCTCTCAGCACTGCAATTGATAATCTGCATCAGCATTAGACTTGGGTATCTTCCAATTTTTAAAAAAGAAATATATATATTTTAAAAATATTTACTGTACAGACATTTTATTTTCTGAGAGTACTGAGTACCTCTTGGAAATCTGCACTGATTTTAGCATCACTTCAGTCAACCATCTTCAGCTATATACACTTACAGGCAGATGAAAATTATTTGTGTCTAGGCTTCCATTATAGTGAATAGAGATCATTGTTTTAATTCAGCTGCATAAATGTACATCTAGTACCTTCTGGGATATGCCAAAGACACCTGGACAGGACTGAAAGATGTGAAACAAGATCTGTAGAAGAACTGTACTTTTCTAAAGCAGTATGTGGAGGCAAGGTGAAATACATTAGATTATCGAAAATGACAGGAGATGCCTATGTTTGGGGAACTGAAGACCCTAATTAGAACAGTCAAGCCTCTAGAGTAATTCTGCTTCCCTTAAAGTAGATGCTCAAAAGATGGTGACCTGAGTTGCTCCTGGAACTCCTCTGATTAAGTGTGACTCCATCTCTGTTGACTAGAATGGGAGTTTAGAGACATAATCCACTTACATTTAAAAGCCCACACAAGACAGACCTAAATTTAGATGTCTGTCTAAATCTCCCTCTGAATTCCTTCTAATATCTACCTATATAAAAATATATATTTTTAAATATTAAAAAACATTAAAATTCAAACATAAAAATAGCCATGATTAACTACTGAAGTGCTAGATGATAAACAAATTCCAAAAAAAATGCTACAAATTGTGTCTTTTACTGCAAACTATGACTTATTTGTTTAAAAACCTATGAAATTACTGATGCTGCTTCCGCTATAATGGCTGCTTACTCTGGCTGTGGAAGAGGAGAAAGAAAACAGCAAATGAGCCAGAAAAGCAATCACTGAGACTATAAACTACTTTCCTAAAGAAAATTCAGCCCGTGGTGAACAATACCCTACATTCTAAATAATCTTAACATTTTTACATTATGTACCAAATGAAGGTGGTCTCTTTGGAAGGATCTCACAATAAAAAGGGAAGAACTTTTTCACATTCACCAAATACTATTTAATAGTCAATTCTCATTCATTTTATTTGGATCTAGAAGTTAAGGCATTCCTATAAACTATTCAGCAATTCCCAAGAACAGGTCTTTATATGTTAGAGAAGAATATCCTTAAATCTGAAAAGGAATGAAATCCATGATCATCTCAAGAAATACAATACTAAGAGTATTCTTTACTGAACATTAAGAGCAAGCTGTTATTCTCAACGAATTCCCTTTAGTTATTCCCACAGACATTCAGTACTATGGCCAATGCAGACACAGTAACAGTAGTAGCTGACAAGGCCATCAATTCTCCATTAAAATAGATATGTGAAACCAAATAATGCAGTTTAAGGTAAAAATGTGTCATTACTTCCACTGATGGGCCATCACCAGACACTTTCAGCTGGCCGTTAGGTGAAGTTCAGCATCACCTTTTTCCTGCTTCACTCATCTATAAATAGGCAGTAGCTTTTACTTAGCGTACTTTAAACAGACAGAATGATGCAGAGGATAAGACGTCTATAAATCAACACTTCCTGAAGGACAAAAAGGTGTTTTCTTTCTTTTAATTGCAAGTGTGTAGTATAAAACATAGAAATACATGAAATGACAATGTAAGTAAGTGAAATTTCCCTATGTTTTGAAAAAGGTAAACAAAGCAGTTAAAAGAATTAAGTTCTCCAATATCTAAAACATAAAAAAGTCCCAAACTATGTCTTTATAGCTCAAATTTAGTAAAAGAAATCTTCTTTTTTTTTTTTAAAGCATGTGTCTTGGAACCTAAATTCTAAAGGTATCTTTATCCTCTTGGGTTTTTGTTTTCAGGAAATACTAACACCAATAAATACATACCCATATACCAGTTAGAAAAGGAATATGAGGTAAAAGTTTATAACAGAAACTATGGTACCTTTAAATAGTTTCTCAGTGGTGTTAAAATATAGCTTTATTTTTATATATTTGCATGTTTGTATGTAACAGGAAATTATGCTAACCATTCTTACATAGGAAATGTTCACCTTAAATAGCTGAGACTTCCAGTTTTAAGGCTGCGATAGCTGTTTTCCTACCACAAACCACTTACAAAAGGACCCTTTTCTAGAAGGCCCCATGACCCACTCTGAGCTTCTACCTATGACACTGCATGAAACGAAACGCAAGGGCTCTAAAAAAGGAGCCTACAGGCTCACTCCCCAGTATGTGGGCAGCCAGCTTTTCTCTTAGGCTTCTGAAATACTGGGTAATCCTTTTCACATGGCTAGCTGAATGGCTGGACTTTTTTCTGAATATTGAAAACCTGCAGGAAGTAACAGGATGGTCGCAGCAGACTTACCAACATGTAACTCCTTTAAACTTGCTGTCTCTGAAGTAACATGGCCCAGCTGCATACAAACCAGCCCAGGAAGACAAGGGAGAAAAGAATGCACTCCTTTTTGGTGCCTTATTGTTGCAAGCTCTCATCCCATTGCTCAGCAGCTGACTTTTTATATGGGTTTGCACATTGCCTTCCACCAGTGCCCGATACCAGACATAAAAATGTCATGTCAGTCTTAAGCTCTTGCTCAAAATCTATGTCCCTCCATCCATATTGAAGAATGGTCTGTCACAAAGAAATCCTACATGGATGTGGATATCAGTTGCAGTAAAAAAGCTCACTTTTTATTTAATCTGTCATAACCTGAGCAGTATATGACAGAAATTATTAATAAAATTATGGTTTTTTTCCATTCTCAATGTAACCACTGATGTAATCACTCAATGTAATCAATCTGGGGCAGATGTTTGCCCCAGAGGGGGCAAGTGTTGCACTGGAGGATGTAACAAAGGCAACAAAAAACTCTGCATCTCACTTTGCACAGCAATGAAGGTGCGATGCAGTTTGTGTGGAGATGGCCATTCCACTTTACCTTAGTTAGCAGAGTGTCCCTAACAACAGAAATGTAACAAGAAGGTTTTGAAATAAGTCCATCCACTTGCTGGGTCTCGTTGTTAATCTGCACTAATGTCATTTGTCATCTATCCTCACTAAAGTAAAACTGGCAAAGTTATTCCTACACAAATTCCTTCCCTGTTTGCTATGAAGGCATACTGTGGAAGTCAGTGGAAAAAACAAGGAGCACTAAACAGACTCATGAGGTGAGCTGTGTTTATGAACAGGAGAAGAGCTAACTTCTTATAAAATTTATGATCTTCACATCCTGCCAAATCCATAAAATGAACTGGTAAACCACAATGAAATTAAATTAGTATGGTATTACTGCATGACAATTGAAAAAGACACATTAGCTTTCTTACGCCGCTTTATAACAGAATCTAACAGTGCAGTACAAAACCCACAACTTTTTCACATCAGTGCCACATTTTAGATGTTATTAAAAGGCTTCTGCTCAAAAGAGGATCTCTGTACTGAAACACTCTGGCTAACTGCAGTGACAAAATGCATGTCCTAATACATTTTACCCAGTTGTCACTGAAATTTTATTTAAGCAAACACTGAATAGATATGCAGAAGTATTACTTTTCTTTGTATTTGAACTTTGTATGAGGATAGCCTGGGAAAAAGAGAATTGTCTGACAGAAGTCTGTCAGTCTGTCACCCACCCTCATCTGCCTGCAACACACCTTTTCCAGTTTTGTACCTATTGACCACAGCCCGTTCATCAGTGAGCTCCCACATCATCTTTGCTTGTGATCTACAGCAGGGCTGAAATCCCCATCTCCAGGGGCAGAAACCTGACAGTCCACTTCATAACTGTAGCTTCAGCAGGCCCTTGACTGTTCAAGCATTTTTATCTCCAACAATCACATGGAGGTTCAGTTAACAGAAATTCAACTCCTATTAGCGCTCATATTAACACTCAGTACCTTCATGCAGACACTACAAATGACAGATGTGTTAAACACCAAAGGAAGAATTTAACTTTGCTGCCTTTTGCAGTATGCAGTATAGCCGTCCAGTGGTATGTACCACTGCTGCACAGGCACTGAGATTTAGCTGCGCTATTCTTGTAATGCCGACTGACTTCTTCCAGTGTAAATTCACCACACAAAATGTTAAGTAACTTTTTGCAGGAATCAAACAAAATGTGAGTGTCTATGGACAAACTTCCCCCGGTTTTAATTAAAGTTACTGGGGTTTGTCATCATTTTAGAACCAGTCAACAAATAAATGTTTATTCACCATAAGTTGATAATCAAAACCTCATTTGCAAAGATAAATGAGATTTCCCACAAAGCAGTACTCTAGGAAATGCTGTCCACAAGCACTAGTCATGCTAAAAGAGACCTGTAAGCAAGAAGCTTTCACTATTTACACTAATGGTTTCTTTAAACATTTTTTTTTCATCATCCACTTCCAAAGGCACACATTACTTTGACAAGAAATTTGAACGTTCTGCAAACAGCACCAAGGTAACCTTGTAAGAAAGTGTGCCTGCACTGAGGTACTCCAAGCCCTTAAATGTCATCCATCATAAAGTTAGTAAAAAGAGAAGTAGGAATCTGTTTGGCCAATGAACTTCTATAGAAAGTGTCAAGGAGATAACAACAACAAAGAAAGTGAGAAGATGAAAGCAGGCATCCATGTGACATAGCTTTAGTGTATGTCTCCTCAGCTGCTGTCTGGGTTCCAGTACAAGACTTATTTATCTTTACTATTTATTAAATGATTGAATGCTTTGATGTAACCATCTATCAGGTATTACATCTATCAGGTAATACCACAGGTATTGCAAAGAAAGCCAGAGTCATAAATTGTAAGCAAGTTACAAGCTACAGATCTCACACAACATCATGACAATGATCCCACCAGTTAGGTGGTCTCAGGACACTACTCTGGCACATGTATTTTCGGAATTTTAAAAGCAAATGAACTCTCCCTGTCGAAATAAGATTGCAGTCCCAATTCAAAACAAAGCCAGAGTCACTGAGGGATCTAAAAAGAGTATCTAAACTGCCATTCAGGTCAAAAAGCACCGCACTGATAGGTTGCCAAAGTACCCAAGTTCTGGTATGGGTTTTATTGTGGCCATCACAAGATGGCACAACTACCTAGGAGGTTTTGATTTCAGCTCCCAGATCTTTCCTGGATTTTGACACTCCAGCCTTTACCTGCAATGATTTTACAGTGCTTAAGGTCCTTCTTCCACACAGGTCTAGTAACACAGGCAACTGAGTCCACAACAATCCATTAATTTGTACAGACTGTCAGCAAAGGCATGACACAGCTCCTAAAGCAAATACCTGTCATCTTCAGTGGTACTGCAGATTCTTAAAGTCATCCAGACTTTATAAATAGCTGGAGATAAATTCTCCAATGCCTTCCACTAGACTAATTCCAAAGATAACAGCAATAAGGCCTTTTCCAGCGTAGTATGTGAATTACATTGAATGGTACTTTTCCAGGAAGCTTCTCTCTAATCATTTGAGTTTAAGAAACCGTCCCAATGGTGAATATTCAAATTATTCCTGGCAGAGAAGACACAATGGAAGTAAAACTTGAAGACATTCAACGTAATTACTTTTGTCACTCACCTTTGCAATTTATTCAGCAATCTATTTCATCTACTACTAATGAAAATCTAAATATAACTATAGATACAAGTACGACCACTCTGAAAAAGTTAGGAAAATAAAGGAAGTCTTTAGTTTTCTGGTTAATCAGAAATAATTCAGATAGATAGGCAGAGTGATAGATACATAGACAGACAGACAGATAGACAGACATAGAAACTCTCTGTTCCAAAGGAATAAAAGCTTCATTCCTATATGATTGTTATTACATATGTATGTATCATGCAGCAGGTGGTTCCTTTACACAAAAAATAAGTCACTGCACATATCCTAAAAAACTTAAAACATGCTCAAGTCAGTGGGTGTATACACAGTAGAATTCGTCCTGCAATTAGCATTATGTTAGCGAAGGAACACCACCCACAGCCTCTGTATGCAACAGTATAACAAAGAAGACATAACAATAAACACTGAATGTTTCTTGCCTTCAAAGAGTTGAGAAATACACCTACATTTTCCCAGTGAGTCACTTTTTATTTCTGAGATCAGAACACAAAAGTTACTGAGCAGTCATCTGAAAAAAAACTCAGAACATTCCAAAACTTTCTGCTCTTTGCACCCACAGTGTTGCATCATGCAGTAGATTGCTGTGCCTGAATACTCCCTTCTCTGCAATGGCTGAGTAATGACAACAATTACTTTGACATTTATGCAGAAGATGCAACCATTGATATATTTTATGCTGTTCCAAAAAATAAAAGAGATGGTAAAAAATGGTAAGTAATGGTCATGCCGGTCGTCTTATATGCCACAGCTACCTCTCTTTAGTGATGTATCATGTTATCTGACCTTAATAATATTTTTATTCAAATAACAATAAAGATTCCCACTTTGCTAGAAAAGTAATCAAACTCCTGACTGCATAGTCATTTGTGAGTTTTGATAGTGTATTAACTAGTCCAGCTTACATACATTTTAATCCTCAGTTTTCATGAAACCCAAGTAATTCATTAAAAATCCATTACATTAAATCCATGCCTGCAGATATTTAAGATCAATCAACCTATTAGTAAAATTCCTCCTAGTAATTATAGCTGTCAATCCTAGTTATACTGTAATAGAAATTGGAACTTTTAATGCAGTTAGTTAAGAAATACATCTGTACACTGTGAAAGACAGACTTCTCAGTATTTTACTGAAATTGACATTTCTTTTTCCTTTTCTTACCATCCCATGTACTATAAATAAAAACACAACCCTGTTGACCTTGATACAAGAATAAAGTGAGGTATGCATTTGATTTTTGCTTTTTATCTCAGTACTAATGCAATTTCATACTTCTTTCAGTAATGTTTTTTCCTTTGAAATACAGCCAACAGTATTAACATGAAAGGTCAGTAGTTCTGCCAACATAAATTAAATATTTCTAGCACCTGTTAAACAGAACAGACATATCTCTTCAAAATACATAACCCCACTAACCCTTAAAAGCTATTCATTATATATGCAGCACATTGAGTGTGCTGTCGTAACTGCAAGTAGATAAAAGATTTTGAACATTAAAGCTGAAACACTGGAACTTCTCAGCCCTATAAGCCTCATTAAGACAAAATCTCATGAATGCCAAAGGGAGTGTTAACTGATTAAATACCGTGCCTTTGTGGCAACATCTGGTTCATTACTTCATTTATCAGAAATTATATGGGTACAGTTTGTACCTTCAGCCATATACACAGTTAAAGATGTTCTGCTGGGCCTCTCATGAATGGAGGAATTCAGTCCTTGTAGACCAAGCCTGAACTCCATGCTCCTGGAAGGCAACACAACTGCAATGGCTTTTGCAAGTGCAGAAATTTACCTTACATCTTAATTCATTCTGCACCAAGTTTCTTTGCAGCTCTCTCTGTCTTCTAGAATTTTACATATGGACTTTAAAAGTAGTCACAGGCCTTTCCCACCAGTTGTGCAGGGCACTGGAGCCACAGAAACCTGTACGTCACACGCAGGCAGTACACAGCAACCTTCTGACAGCCATGTGCATTCAGAGCACACTCTGTCTTCCAAGAGTCACTGACACATAATGACAGCTTAAGAGTAAAACAAAACTAACCTGATCTATCAAAAGAATCATCGAATACAACCCTGCAGGTTTTCCCATTATTGAGGATGGTCTTAGCTGCACCAGGATCATAGCTAGCAAACCATGGTAGTAGGGAGCGATCGTAATGCACTTCTTTGGTATTGATTTCAATAGGTGACTGATGGCGTCCTTTGGCAATTGGGTAATTTTTGTACCACTGATCTGGTCCTAGAAAAAATACAGAGAAATCTTGAAGACCTTTTCCAGTTAGGTATGAATTATAGTTGTATTATAACACATGCAAGTTTGGCTTCGCTTAGCTATAGAACATCAATAAAATGTATTAACAAGTAGGTTACTAATCACTTGGTTGGTAGTCATGACCTGTCAAGAATTTCACTATATAAAAAGCAATTAGATCATTGTAGTTGGATTACTAGATACTGCAAGTCATTTGGCTAAACCTAAACTCTCATAGCAACCTCAGGACTTTACTTACTAGGAAGCTGACAATACCCCAAAGAAGGAAACCAGAGGTGCACACTCCAAGTCCAGCAGTGGCTAGAAATATGATGGGATATACCCAAGTGAATCAGCTGTGGCATCATCTACCCATCTGGAGAGAGAAAAAGCCACTGATATCTGAAGAAGAGGAAATGTGGATTTATTTATCGCCACGGTTTTATCATGAACTTCATGTGGAAAAAGCCTGACAGAGGCCGTGCCGTTCTGAAGAGGAACAGGCCGCCCGAGTTTGCAGGCTCCACAGGCTGGAGGGATCGTGGCTGCGCCGCAGACCCCTCTGCCCTTCCTGCCTCCAGGCTAGCCTAAAGCTGGATTTTAAAGCTATGTCAAATTTTAAATTATATTAGCAGTACGAAAATTGACTTTATTTAACTTCGACACCTCAGCCGCCGCCTCCCATCCACCAGCTTCGACTCTTCCACCGACCGAGTGGCCACGCCACCCGGCCACGCTGCCGCCGCACAGACCCGGGCCCGCCTGGAGCCCATACTACCCCTCTTCGTGCACGCTCAGGTAGCGAGGCCTCCCGCTTTGCCCGGGTTTTGCTCCCAGACCCGTTGCCTGCGGGGGCAGCGGCCGCAGCGGAG